AATTTATGAGGCAGGTGGTGCATCATCAGAGTCTATCGCAATCTTGTTCTCTCAATATTCTGGTGATCGAATTGTAACTTTAATGCTTACAGGCATATGCGACGGCGTGGGAATTCTGAGGTTTCTGATCCTGTGATCTTTCCTCTAGTAAGGGTTTCCGAAACCAGTTTGACTTCTTAGTTCGAGCAAATATCTTAATTCTTGGTCCGAGCAGGGTGAGACTTTTCTCGGTCGAGTTGGATTATTCATCAACGTGAAAGTCTAGATTGAGTAACAAACATTTCCTGGTCACTCACTTTGACTTTCCCTCTCGGCCCGCTTGCCCGTGTCGTTGCCGCTGCCACTTGTCATATTACGACCGAAGAGCACTCGCCCCATTACCTGACTGTCACCGCCGTTCAAGCCGGGCCGTGCATACGTCACCTGTTGATTATGAACCTGGGTAGACCCCAGTTGCAGAGGTTGTTGATTTTCTCCATGGGCACCGACAGATGCATCGTAACGAAATATTTTGTTATATACTCAAAATCGACGGTCACCGGTCAACCGGCGGAACCCCCTACGGAGTATACAGAGGCGTGTTGTCTTCACACAATGCATGTAGGACATCAATAGGATAACTTTCGCTTAAGGAGTAGAATGGTAGGTCTATAAATAAGGCCCGAATAGCCCTATTTAATAAATAGTATTTATGCCCGTATCGGAGGTCCGTTGAACGGTCCTCCTACTGCTATCAATGGAAGAGATGGGCATCGCTTAGTCAGTTGAATAGGAGGTGGCGCCGTAGCCCTACCGGCGGCACCCTTCCTATTCCTCATATACCTAGGTCGTTATATCGCTAATCCGGGCCCTACTGCCTTCGTCAGCGGATAGTCTCTATTGACCTCCAATATAGACGATATCGTAGCGAGCCCTCCGATCGCCACTGTAGTAGACGATTCGTACGTTCAACCCTATTACGTGGGCACATTGCCAGAACAACAGATAGGTGCGGCGGTCGCCCCCTTACAAATATACACTACTACTACATTACTGTGCACAAAGTATTGATACCCAAGTTGAGTCTCTAATCCACCGCCAGCAACTGAAAAATAGGTGCATTACAGATGCCCATTAGTCTGCCCCGGTAGCCTATTCGTCGCCATGTGATTTATTGACAGGATCGTGGCGAAGCTTTTTCGTTTTTGACAGTCTAGATAAGCATATTTGATATCATGGCATAATCCTTTCGAACACAAATGGCCGACCCTGCTTATAAGCCGCAATGACATCGCCATACAAGTAAACAACGCCGGGAGGCCCTGCAAAGGTACGTTATTAGAGGTAAAAAGTATGAGCAACCCTTCCAGAAAAAAGGATATGCCTGCACGTTAGAAGTATATTAGTACTTACCATATATTCGGCCGGAACCATCCCGCTTATGACGCATTGCTTCTTCTTGTCTTTCTCTACCTATTGATGCAGTCATAGGAGTGAGAAGCGTCTTTGTTAACATAAAGTGGACCATACCACGAAGAAACATCGATTGAAGTTCATGAGGCATTGACAAAATGGCTCGCTCTGCCTGTGCGTCTGATACTAATAGTTCGAAACGTCGGGATGACTCGATGAGCCAAATGGCGGTAACCCTATTGCGGAGTCTGTCGAGGGCACCTTAAGGGCCGATCGCTTCACTCAACGTAACGAAGACAAGGAAGTCCAGAGCTTGCCTGGTAATATGCCCTCCAACGCTACCATTGATGCCGACGCCAGCCATCTTAACATCGGTCGATCGGATAATAATCTTTTCTCGCAACTGCGCCCTAGCTGTCATTCGGGCCTTGCCCAGTCTGTTCTCACCCCAGTGTTCCCGATGTGACATTGCGTGTTTTAACTTTTTGCTGTGTAGCCGATGCCCCAAACCCGATCTCACGACGCGGCCTCAACGAGTGGACGGTTTCCGGTAGAGAGTAGTTTGCGGCCGAGCTTGGGATTCTGACCAAACTTTGCCACTTTTCCGGCCACGACAACCTCATCCCAGCTGGCATCGTCAAAACTGGCGGTAAGCTTACTTAGGCGCCTATGCTCCTGGGAACTATCGGTCGCCAATACTTTCTTTTGTGTGTCTCGGTTGCTAAAGCGCGAAGGTTTACAATACATCATAAATTGTTCGGCGCAGTTGAATGTGATAGTGCTGTTTCTGCCGTCGTCCTTATCGTATACCATATCTAACGAGGGCCGATACCTGAAATTTGCTGATAGCAAACGTACAAGGATACCACTGGCATAATTAGCTCACCCAAGCGGCGTCAGGCATGTAGAAAAGAAGCGGCTCCTCGTCCACAGCCGGGTGCTCCTAAGTCGAGTGTTCCTAGACTTGTTTATTTTTCGGTTGCGAGGTTATCTTAATGGAACCGTGTTCATCACTTCTCGAGAAATAATTGATGCGTATAGGGTATGAAGATAATTAAGTAGTAGATTGATGATGTGGACGCATTGTAGGTACTTTGTCTCGGTGGAACGAGTTACGCAAGCTCCATCTTCCCGGGGCTGCCGGCACCATCGATATTCAGGTCAGCACGAAAAGCTCCAACTGATGGATCTCGCGAATGAAGGGTAGGGCCTTTTCGAATAGAGACCTTTTCAGACAGCAAGGCGCGACTGCGGGATCGGGAAGGGGAAAAGGGGACTCTTGCAAGGAATTAAGATCGGTCTTCCTTCCGAACGACGAGAAATTTGGGGTGAGGAGAAAGGGGGCGGTCAAGGAACAGAGTATTTGTTTTGTTCATTACCTTAGCTCATCAGTCCCTCGGATCCAAGAAATCCCCCATCTGTCGTAGAACTGCTGCTCGACCAAGTTCCAAAAATCCGCATCACTTTCGCAGTAGGTCGTGAGCCCTCTAGGCTTTAGTCCGCCGTAATTACTCAATGTGGCTTCTATTACAATGCATTAAAATGATCAAAAACCACATCTGAAAAGATATCATAACCTTGTAGTTTTTCTTTGTAATGAAATCTTAGGTATTTGACCGTCGATGGCCGGCATGCCATTTGTAATGGTTTATCAAGTTCCCGAACCGACAACCAACATTCGGCATAGACTACCGTAATGGCTGTCTATTGTTGTGTATGGTCATAGACAAAGATTACTTATAGTGAATGACATAACCCGCCTTTGTTTCCTTGTCCCCGTAACGATGGCACATTAGATATATGACAGGTCAATGATCAGGCTTTTTGATGTGTGAAGAAACATGTGCCTTGAACGGCGAAGGCCTATTGTAACTTTGTTTGATCAGCAGACAAGATTCTTCCCAAAAGACATCCCATGTAGTCGACGGCGCTGCTAGTAGTCGGTTGCCGCCCGTGATCTGGGTTGACTTTGTCAGGCCCGGACATGTTCAGGTGATAGGCACGAGAGAAAGAAATCCGAGAAGCAGCTGGATATACAATAAAGACAATGCTTTGTTGAACAATGACATAGAAATAGTTTAATATAACCAGCGCGTGGATATATTACCAGTCCTAGTAACGGGTAGTTACAATCATGGAAGTGAATCCCCGATACACGTGGGTTAAATGGTGTGGCCAATACATGACCTACTTGAAACTCAAACAATGAAATAAAAGAGATAAAAGAATGGATCAGAGAACAATTCGAACAATCTCAAACAGTCAGGCTCTCATGAGGCTCTATATAAACACTGGCATCTGGCCGGGTATGGATAGAGCACAAATCTCTACTACTAAGAGACCACTTCTCTGAGCGCTAATACCTTCAGACACTTACAGACAATATGACACTCTTGCCAATAATTTACCTCACTGGCGCTACCTCTACCGGCAAAGGTACGCTGGGGTCAAAACTCGCTGCCGAGTTTGGTTTCCATCACATATCAATGGGGGACCTCCGGCGCTCTTACCTAGCCAAACTAAAAGCCACCGTACCTGATGTAGATGAAGATATAAGACCGTATATTATTCAGGAAAAGGCGATCCCGTCAAGTCTGCTAGCGCGATACAACCCCATTCCCGCACTTTTCCTGTACCAAAATCACCGCGTGAGTCAGGCCAACAGCGGCCGGCGTTCCTGGTCATACTCCCTTGCATTGGCAATGCTAGAAGAAGCCATTGCTGAGAAGCAAGCGCTGGCCAAGCCGGACTGTAAGTACCGAGCCATCATTATTGATGGACACCCACTGACGAGTGGGACACTGTCGGCGGATCTCGTGATGAAGTACAGAGAAAACTATTCGGGGCTGACAATTTTGATAGAGTGTCCGAGAGAAGACGCTAAGAAACGCTACCTCGACAGGGCCAGGCTGTTAAGCGAAAACGCGGACAGATTCGAGTCTCGGATGGCTTTGACGGATGCAACCCTCCCTGCCTTTATTCGACTGATGGCAGACTATGGTGAGATAATTCGTTCGACCAATAGTAGCTCGATGACCATTGACGAGGCATACAATGCCTTGGTCCAGAAACTGCGCGAGAGCCGAACTTTTCAGCGCTTGATTCAAAGTTAAAGGAGTCAGCTTGGGCTACGCTGCTTATGTAGCACCAAGAGTGAGGAAGAGAGAGAGAGAGCGACGAAAAGACCATTGATAGAAACCTAGTTAAGTATCAATAAGACATCACGTTGTATTTACATATTACTATGACCATCATTTGTGATACTAAATGAGTTAGTAGTTTCGGTTAAAAAAATTACAGCTAACAAAAGTACAGAACTTACACTACATGACAATTACAGGGCATTGGCTGACGCTCGATGACTCGGTGAAAGAGATGAGTGTTGACTGCTTCGTTGGTGAGTGCAGAATATGCTTGTCGGCCCCAAACTCAGCAAGCTAACTCATACTTGCTGAGATATTCTCACTTCATTTTTTTCGGTGAAACTGCATATAATTGACATGTGTACTTTGTAACTGACATTGGTAACAGGATGACTTGATTAGGGACATATGGAGACCAGAAGAAGTAAAAAAGGAAGACAAAGTCCCACGCAAAAAGAGGATGTCTGCCTCCATCCAGGATTGAACTAGAGATCTTTGCATAATCCTGTACCGCTCAGCAGGGCTTAGTACAAGTGCAACGCGTTACCACTACGCCATAGAGGCAAGCATTGTCTTATCAGGGTGGGTGCAGCGATTATCACGGACGCGGCGCAGAGCAAACTCTGCACTGACTCGATGGTTGTTCAAGGCGCCAAGCCTGCAAGTTTAGCGAGCGGCACGCCTGAGTCCTGTCTTCGCATGGTTTCACAGAATGAAATTAATGAAAGGAATACAAACAAGCCTGATATTTACTTACACAATCAGCTTTCTTCTAGACTTCAAAATCGCGTTTGAACTGATTACTATCAATATTGTGCTCTTCAAAAATCGCAAGGCCCGATCGGCGACCAGTTTCGGAGATCAAGACAGCGAGGATGACACCACGCGAGTGTGTATCGCTCTCGAATGCGAATGCCACAATCTTCGGGCCCAATGTCTACATATTTGATCCAGACATGCCCATGGCAGCCATCCAAGAGAAGGTAACGGGTATTTTCGCGCGGATGGAGGCTAATGAATTTGGTTCGGAGCGCTATGCTCTGCTTTTCAAACCCGGGATTTATAACGTTCTCTTCGATGTGGGATTCTACACTCAGGTAGCGGGTTTGGGGAGAAATCCGGACGATGTTCTGATTGATGGTGGCGTGAATGTGCCCGCGCACTGGATGCCGCACCGCAATGCTACGTGCAACTTCTGGCGTGCTTTTGAGAATTTTGCGATCTTTGCATCGCCTGCCACCAACAATACAACCACCATGGCCGTCTCCCAGGCCGCGCCGATCCGGCGGATGCATATTCGAAGTCCTGGCGGTCTGTGGTTGTTCCAGGTCGACCCGGAGACGGGGGCTGGAGGCTGGGCTTCGGGTGGCTTCATGGCCGACTCTGTTGTCGATCACACGATTCTGCCTGGCTCGCAGCAACAGTGGCTGTCGCGGAATAACAAGTATGGCAACTGGGCAAACGGGGTATGGAACATGGTATTTGTAGGAGACGCGAACGCTCCGGGACAGGACAATTTTCCAGCTATCCCCTACACCACCGTACAACGGACGCCGATCATTCGAGAAAAGCCATATTTATATATTACTAATGAAGGCCAGTATGAAGTCTTCGTTCCCTCCCTGCAGAGAAATACTCAAGGGCCAAGTTGGGCCAACGGGCATGCGACCCCCGGCAAGTCTATACCGATTTACGACTTCCTCATAGCGCGCCCGGAGAACGCGAGTGCGATGAGCATTAATGCGGCTTTGGATAGGGGAAAGCATATTATCTTCACACCCGGTATCTATAAGCTCCATGACACACTTCGTGTTGTTACGGCTGATACAATTATTCTTGGGCTCGGCCAGCCGTCACTTGTTCCAATCAATGGGTGCGCTGCTATTTCCGTGGCCGATGTGGACGGGGTAACGATAGCAGGTCTCATTATTGACGCTGGTGAGATCAAGTCGCCTACTCTGATTGAAGTCGGACCTCAAGATAGCTGCGCCAACCATGTACACAACCCTACGTTCCTCTACGATCTCACCGTGCGCACATCTGGCTATTGTAGAAACGATGTATGCATAACAATCAATAGCAACAACGTGGTTGGAGACCAATTATGGCTCTGGCGCGCCGACCACGGCGAAGGGGTGGGCTGGGACTCGAACCCGACGAAGCACGGAGTTGTCATCAACGGTGATGATGTGACTATATACGGACTTTTCAACGAGCACCACAAAGAGTACCAGACGCTCTGGAATGGAAACGGCGGCAGGCTATACTTTTATCAGTCCGAGCTTCCCTACGACCCGCCCAACCAGGAGTTGTGGAAGTGTGGCCCAGCCAACGGATTTGCTTCGTACAAGGTGGCCGACGAAGTAGTAAGTCATGAGGCGTGGGGAGTAGGCATCTACTCATACTTTCGCGACTCGCCGACCAAGCTTGAAAACGCGATCGAAGCACCCCAGGTCTCCGGCGTCAAACTGCATCATTTGACTACCGTCTGGTTGAACGGGACACCTGGTAGTGAAATCAGCCATATCGTGAACGGGTTGGGAGGTCGTGTTTATGCCAACGCTCCCGAGTCGGCGATGCGCCAAACTATGAAAGAGTTCCCGTGCCCTCCTTAATTTAAGGGGCGGTTTACGTTGCCTTGAAACGCAACTGGGAAGACGATGCTGAGCTCCAGGGTAGGTGATGTCTGGGCCCCATTGGCGTAGATAAATTGGTACAAGAAATAGGTAAGTGTTTTTCTGGGAGGGAGCGCAGTCTGGGTCGTTTTGGTCAATGGGCATAGAATCACGCATCGGGTTCAAAAGAGGCATCTATCGCGAGTCGGTTCAATAAGAGGTAGGTTCATTATTTAACCCTGCTTATATTTCTAATAATAATACACATGGTTACCCCATACGCTGGCTTAAGGGTAGATATCAACCAGCAGATTACTTTTTAATTATTCTAGTTATACATAGAGTGCACAATTAAACACTTGGATTTTGACATTAAAGCTTCGTCGACAAACTTCATCACGAACACGGGGGCCACGGGCCACGATGAACCTGAGCGGGCCTCACGATCTTCTGAAGAGATACGACTTCCAACTCATTAACAGCTATCGGGCCAAGTGGTGCAGTATCCGCTGTCCCCGTTGTTTTGATTGGCATCAAGACAATCGCTGTACTGGGAAGCGCAAGCGGCGTGGGCCTCGCGATAGCTCTGGGCAAAGCGGCCCGTTCTGCAACCCTCAGCGTATGTCGACTCGCAATGCTGGTACTGCGCCTTGCAGGCGTCGGCGCAGGCGTCGGGGTACTGGGGGCGCGTGTACGAGGGGCAATTGTGGCTGTCTTTTTCGGTGTACAGCTTGTACACCCTGCCTTGATCCCAGTCATGCCTGAGATTGTTGCATGTGACCACAGGCAATTCGATGCCGCCGACGGGATTCCCCGGGCAGTACCCGTAATGGGTATTGGAGGGCTGAGTGCATATTCCCGTCGGCGTGGGAACGGGGCAGCTCGTTGTTGGTGTCGTGGTCGTCGTGGTTTTGGTTGTAGTGGTGGTGATAGTTGTCGGGCAGGTGTAAGTTGAGATGCTGGTAATGGCCGGCTTGCCGCCCTTTGGGGGATTGCTATTGACGAATGCAGACTTGTCTTCGCAATTTCCGCCGAAGCACTTGTTCAGGCAATGGAGGTCAAGCTCGGTGCACCACTCTGTGTATTCAAGACAGCCGAGCGAAGCAGGGAAGCCGGCTTTCAAGAAGCAGCTCGCGCCTTGAAGCGTACATTGAGACCAGGAAGTGAGGCAGCTCTTCTCATCGTGCCAGTCTGGAACAGGATTCGAGCACCAACTACCAACTTTGTATTCACAGGTTGAGGGCGTCACGGTTGTAGTCGTACACACAGCGGCGCTAGATGTGGTTGTTGAGCTTGATACCGGAGTGGTTGAGGTCACAGGAGGCACGGTGATTGTGCTGGACGTGTCGGGCGGTATGCCACAGGGTTCTAGAGACTGAAGGTCCTTGGCGACATACAGGCTGAGCCTGGCCGGACCACCGCAGGTTTGACTACTATTGCCATTGCACGGCATGTTGCAGGTTGTCTGATCAGTAGCCACGTTGGTACCGTTACCGACAACGACACCGCAATAACATTCACCACCTAGATTTTAGAATGTGAGCTAGAGTTCACGTTCTATATTAACGGAGAGTTGCGTACCGTATTCAGTTCCGGCGAATGGGAAGCCACCATTGAGGCATGATTTCAAGCAAGTCTCGGTCGTGAGAGTTGAGGTGTCAAGGCTATCCTGGCGGTAAAATAGCGCCTTGCCCTGATTAGAGTCGTCAGTCCAGCATCCGACCGGAACATATTCGTTGATGTTCTGGTTCTCCAGGGGTGGAAATGTCGGGTCCATCCAGATGTTGATCTGAGTATCTCCGCCGCATGTTTCCGAGCTGTTTCCCGAGCAAGGAAATGTGCATTGATTCTCCGGGAGCAAAGCTGTCGAAACTGTCTGGCCGCAGTAGCAGACTCCATAATACGACAGGCCAGCCAACCTATAGTCGTTTCCTGGTAGCGAATTTAGTTTTATCCTATTATGCCCGGGACCCTAAGTTACTTACCTTTACAATGAGCCACACATGTTTCGACAGTCATGTTCTGCTGGTTAAGATCGGTGCGAAGACTTAGGGCTTCCTTCTGGCCCCGTTGTCCATTGTCGTAGCATCCCGTATAAACAAACGGTTCAAATGGTGATAGACACGAAGGCAAATCATTATACCAAGCTTGGGCGGTGTTAATGAACGAAAGAGCCGCAATTGCAACGAGTGGCTTAATCCCGACCATTTTCAGTGATCGTGGACTTCACAGCCGGGGTAAAAGAATAGAAATACGGTCAGGAGAGATGGTAGCCCGTAAAGGTTATTAACCCCTGCTGATCATGACATTTCAGAAGTGTTCATGACGGGAAGAGAGTTTATGTATGCTGTTCGGAGTGGCTCTCGTCCAGCGGGTAACCTATGAAATCCATGAGTCGGCAACTCGACATACATCACCTGCGACTGAAGCCTACCACGTTTGCATTGCTTCTGGACCCTACGCCAAGATGGCTACGGAGCGGGAGACATTGACCTCAGGACAAGACATTGTACCTCATAATGCATCTCAATTGCCACAGTACCAAATCTACATATAGTATGTAACGTTGAATGCTTGAATTGGTCGGTCCAGGCTCTCTGAAGTTCAGCTGGTCGATTCAGCCCATACGATGACAACGTTCGGACGAGTGATATTATGAAGGCGGCCCACACCGTCGCGCCAAAGTTGGTGAGAGGATGGCTTCAGGCTTCAATGTAGTGTAGATAACTTGCAGAAAAGTAAATGTCTCACTTTCTTTTTCTTCAGCGTACCTAGATTAGTGTCAGCAAAAGAAACAGTACCTACATTAGTATATGGGGATGCCACGGGATGTAACCGTCGTTAGTCTAACGGAGTGGAATTAATTCACAGAGTCGATGTTTTCGTTGACGATACCGGTACATATCTTATTGTATTGATTACCTCCATCCTGCGCTTATGTAGTCCGTA